CGAGTCCGCCGCCTGCCTTCCCGTCCGAGACGGGGGAACAGAGCAGGGCGAGTGGCGTCCGCAGAAGCCCCGGCGGCCGGGCCTCTCCCAGACGCGTTCCACCGGCCCTTACCCCGATGAGGTAGATCTTGTCCAGACTGAAGTTCGGGATAATGGTCACCAGCTCCTTCTCCGCCAGAAACTCCACCTCGGCCGCGTCCATTGCGGTGCAAGCGGCGGGTCAGGGACTCGTCGTAGCCTCCGGCCCCTCTGCGCCCGGACCCGCGGCGTCCCTAAGGAGGTGCAGCTGCAGCCGCTTTCGCGCCACCGTGCAGAGCCCGCCCCCAGGCCGGAAGAACCCTTGGCCGGCCTATAGCAACGCGACGCTCTCCGCGCGGCGGCGGGAGGCGGGGAGCGCGGCTGCTACGAGCCCGCGGATTGGCGAGCTTGAACGAGGTTCAGCGCCTACTCCCTTCTGCAGGCCACGCCCCCTCCCGTGTCCCGAGCCCCCTTCCCACCCGGTGTTCTCTGCGCGCCTTCCCGTATCTGGCGCCAGGCTTCCGAGTCCCTTTACCTGCTCCGCGCACCTACCCGCCAACACCCTGAATCAACAGCACCCCTTATTCCTGGGGCCAGGAGTCAGTGCATTTATTGGGTCACAGCATTACCTGAAACAGCCCGACCCCCTCATGTCACAATCTTCTGCCCTCTGTATACATTGGTTAAAAATCTATAAAAAGTGTAGATTCTTGCCCGTCCGGGCGTGGCTCAGCGGTTGAGCATCGACCTAGGATCCAGGCGATCGAGGGTCGATTCCTGGTCAGGGCACATGCGCCGGTTGCGGGCTGCAGCCGATCAATGACTCTCTCATCACTGATGTTTCTCTCTCTCTCTCCCTCCTTTCCTCTCTCCCTCCTTTCCTCTCTCTGAAATCAATAAAGATATATTTAAAAAAAAAAAAAAAGTGTAGATTCTTCTACCCAACCCACATCTCCCAATTCAGAAACTGCCGGGTAAAGGCTCAGAGTCTACGTTGGCAAGCGCCCCAGGTGAGGCTTATGAAGGGGCAAATTTGCAGACTGCAGCAGAGAGGTATTGCTGTGCTCATCTGTTCGTTGAACAGGTACACTCTGTACAGTGGGCTTGTGTGAAACCTAATAGCATGGTCCTCAGTCTCCCCGCTGTGCCTGGGATGGGAACAGAAAGCTGAATTTTAACCAGAGCCTTGGGAAGGGGGGAGGGACTCTGATGGGATGCTAATAGGAGGCCAGGGAAGCTTCCAGGGAGGTAAGGCAGCCAGTGCAGGACTGGTGAGGACAGGCAGAGGGCTGGACTTGAATTTGAAATTCTGTTCATTAGGCCCTGAGAAAAAGCACAGGGCACAAGAGGGTCCTAGGCTTCTGTACCCTGGCAGGAAAGCTACCCAAATCCAGATAACCCCATGCTTTACTCTCTAAGACCCCTGACCTACCCCATTTAGGGTTGCTGGGATATTTTTTCCATTGCTTTTCAGAGAATGGAAGGGAGAGAGAGAAACATTGATGTGAAAGAGACACATCGATTGGTTGCCTCCCACATGTGCCCCAACTGGGACCAGGGATTTAGCCTGCAACTGAGATACATGCCCTTGGCTGGAATCGAACCCCAGACCCTCAGTCCACAGGCTGATGCTCTAACCACTGAGCAAAACCAGCTAGGGCAAGACAGATTCTTTCAAAGAAAATAAATGAAAGTCCCTCTGGAAGCTGTGTGACCCTGGGCAAGTGAACACTCTGAACTTCAGTTTCCTCATCTGCAAAAGAGGTAGGAAGAGAAGGAGCCTGGGGTGTTTAGGGAGGAGGGGAAGCTTTGGGCCACCTGGCTCCTCCTGAAATAGAAGCTCCCTCAGACATCTGCAGAGAGTGTGTGCCAACATGTCTGGGTTTTGATTGATGGGAGAATGTTTTCTTCGCTGGCAAATATTTGTGTTCCAAAGTTGGTGAGGATTCCCTGCTGGCTTTTTGCAGCCCGTGAAAGAGCAAAGGAAAAGAGCTGGTGGGAAAGCTGAGGTTCAGAGGGGGAATAGTAGGGTGAGTAGGAGAGCGAGCAGAGCCCAGTGTCCCCATCACCTGAGTCCTGTTGTCCTTGTCTGTAAAATGGGGACAGTGCTGCTGCTGACCCCACTGGGATGTTGGGAGAACAGGAGATAGTGTGCAGCATTACGCACTGAAAAATGGGGGTGTCTTAGAGTCTTAAACGCCAGTGTACATCAGGGTCACTTGGAGGGCTCATTAAATGACTTTCCATTCATAGCAGCATGATTCACAACAGCCAAAAGGTGGAAATGACCCAAATGTCCATATTAACAAAACATGGCCTATATGCATACTATGGAATATTATTTGGCCATAAACAAGAATGAAGCACTGATACCTGCTACAATGTGTGTGAAACTTAAAACGTTATGCCAAGTGAAAGAAGCCAATCACCAAAACCACGCATGATTCCATTTATATGGAACCATCCAGAATAGGTAAATCTGCAGAGACAGAAAGGAAATTAGTGGTTACCAGGGCTGGGGAGAAAGAAATGGGGTGTGACTGTTAATGGGTATGGGGTTTCTTTTTGGGGTGGTGGAAATGTTCTGGAATTAGATAGAGGTGGTGGTTGCACACTATAAATATACTAAAAACCACTGAATTGTACACTTTCAAAGAGTAAATTATTCTTCAATAAAGCTGTTATTTAAAATGCCCTTCCCTGAGCTCCAGGCTCAGACTTTCTGACTCAGAAACCACATACTTAACATGCTCCCCAGGAGGTTTTTATAGGGAGGAAAACTGAAGAGGGAAGTGATTGCCCCAATCCAGTCCACCTCTGAGCCATTCCCAGGATCCAGAGAGGGCTTCCAAATCCCCAGTCTCATGCCTGGCCTCTTAAAGTGGGAGGAATGAGACAGTAAGCAGACAAGAGGAAAACTGAAGGGAGGGAGGAGGGGAATGATGGAAGTGGGTTGCTACTTGAGATGGGGTAGGTAGGCCTTCCTACCATTATTTCCTGCTGTAAGAAATGCCTCCCCTAGAAGGCTAAAATGCCCCATGTGGTAATGAATTCAGAGTTGGAGATAAAATTAATGGGGTGAAGGGACAAATCCTTCATGCCAAATAATTCCAAATGTCTATAGATGCCCAGCCTTCAAGAAAGTGGAACATAACACCCCACTCCTGAAGTGTGGGCTGCCCAGAGCAACTTCTTTCTAAAGAGAACAGGACGGAAACAGGGAAAAACAGAGTAACTTGACAGTGGAGAAACCTCGCCAACATGACCTCAGCCAGGTGATCAAGGTCAGCATCAGCACTGATAAGCCATGGTGACCGCATGCACGCTTGATATCATGGGTGAGAAGGGCACTTTACCTCCCAAACCTACAACCCCAGTCTAATCATGAGAAAAACATCAGACAAATCCCAATAGAGGGACATCTCAAAACTGTCAAGGTCGCCCTGGTTGGGTAAGTCAGTTGGTTAGAGCGTTGTCCTGATACTCCAAGGTTGTGGGTTTGATCCCGGGTCAGGCCACATACAAGAGTGAACCAATGGATGCATGAATAAGTGGAACAGCAAATCAATATTTCTCTCTCTCTCTCAAAAAACAAAAACAAAATACCTGTCAAGGTCATCAAAAACAAGGAGAGTCTACTCTCATCATTGATGTTTCTGTCTCTCTCTCTCCCTCCCCCTTCCTGTCTCTGAGATCAACAAAGACATATTTAACAAAAAAATAAAACAAGGACAGTCTGTCACGGCCCAGAGGAGCCTAAGAATTCATGATGACCCAATGTCATATGGGATCCTGGATGGGATCCCAGAATTTAAAAAAAGGACATTAGGGGGAAACTGAGGAAATGTGAATAAAATATGGACTTTAGTTAATAATAATGTATCAAAATTGGTAATTGCGACAAATGTACCAGAGTCACATAAGATTAACGACAGGGGAAACTGGGTGGGCAGTATATGGGAACCGTCTGTACTATCTTTGCAACTTTTTTGTAACTCTAAAGCTATCCTTACCAAGAAAAAGTTTATTTTAAAAAGCCTTCCCAGGCTCCCTGGGGAAACCTAACACACCCCCCCAAGCTGTGAACCTATTGCCCTCCTCCGAGTAGTTAGCGGTACAATCACTTTTGGTCACAAAGAATTTAGGCCAGCAGAACAGAGCTCCAAAATGAGCCAGCAACGTGGACTTCTGATTTTAAAAAAAAACCAAAAAACTTTTATTGATTTTTAGAGAGAGAGGATGGGAGAGGGAGAAGCAGCAGTGTGAGAGCCAAACATCAATTGCCTGCCTCCTGCACGCCCCCTACTGGGGGTCGAACTTGAAACCCGGGAGTGTGCCCTGACTGGGAATCAAACCAGCAACCTTTCAGCGCACAGGGTGATATCCAAACAACTGAGCCACACTGGCCATGGCTGGACTTCTGATTTTGAAAGCAGTGGATCATTCTGCAATGATGAAAATGTTTCATACATTTCCGGCCAGTACAGTGGCCACGTGTGGAAACTGAGCATTTGCAATATGAGTGACTGACAGGGGACCGTGATCTTTGAAGGGTCATTCACTCCTGTGTCTGGCGCTGGGCCAGCAGCCCACCGATGCATCCCCACATGTGATCTTGGGTTGAGCATGTCCGGGAAGGACCTGCGGTCCACCTGCTCATAGCACGCTCATTCAATCCTAGATTAGTTTAAATCTCTGCCATGTGGGAGTGATTTTCTTATAGTGAGAGGTGGCCTAGGAAAACGATGAATTACAGTGAAGAATACAGGAGGTGGGTGAGAAGCTCCTCGGACTCTCAGCCCTGCCTGTGCAAGACACTCATCTACCTGGTGCTGGGGCCACGCCTGGACCCGAGGAGTCAGAACCTGTGGAGTGGGGCTCAGGCCTGGGCCGAGGCTGAGAGCCACTGCTCTGATAAACTGAGTCCAGCCTCTCTCCTGTGGTCTCTGGGGGAACTCGGGAAAAGCACTGGCTTGTAGCTAGTGGTGTCACTCACTTAAGAAGGGCGCTCGAATTACAGCGATAGCAGCGGAAGAGAAATGCAGAATGCAAAACGCCTCCTCAGGGTGACCTCCTTGCCTTGCCTCAGCTGAAACATGCCAGCAGTGTGGTTCAGAGCAGGGCTCTGCCAATAGGACACGACTGCTTCCCTCATTAGACCCACTGGGCTCCAGGGGGCTAAGAGCCACCGCTCCTACTGTGACTTGAGCCCATGCCTGCATCGTCTCTAATGTGGAGACGATAATATGACCGATAATATGACCTCCTGCAGGACTGACCTTGGTGACTCTGATTGAATTAGGCCACCCCACTGCCACTGTGCCTATTCTGAATGTCATCATCTCTTAGAGCTGGTAAGGTTCCCAGCTGTGTTCAACATGGCAGTGGCTCCTATTCTTAGCAGGATCTTCTTTCTTTCCTTTTTCTTTCTTTTTATTCTAAAAAAAAAAAAAAGTTTATTTATTGCCCTAGCTGGTTTGGCTCAGTGGTTAAAGCATCAGCCTATGGACCGAAGGGTCCTGGGTTCGCTTCCAGCCAAGGGCCCGTTTCATACCTTGGTTGCAGGCTCGATCCCTGGTCCTGGTTGGGGTGCATGTAGAGGCAACCAATTGATATGTTTCTCTCACATCGATGTTTCTCTCTCCCTTTCTTTCTCCCTTCCACTCTGTCTGAAAAGCAATGGAAAAAATATGCTCAGGTGATAAAAAAAATAAATTTATTGATTGATTGAGAGAGAGGGAGAGAGAAACCTCGATTCATTGTTCCACTTATTTATACATACATCCATTGGTTGTTTCTTGCATGTGCCCTGACCAGGAATGGAACCCGCAACCTTGGCATATTGGGATGGTGCTCCAACCAACTGAGCTACCCAGCCAGGGCAGGAGTGGTTTCTTTTTCTCATGGCCATCCCACGAGGCATTATCCCTGCTGAGTGTGGCAAGAAGTAAAGCAAGAAGGACATGCCGTGGCCAGCTCTCTAGGGGCTGCTATGTAAGCCACATTTGAGAACGTGGGCACAATCCCAACTGCCATGGGAGGCCATCGGAGGGATGCAGGTCGAGGAGGGACATGAATAGATTCGCACTGCAGAAATACAACTTTGGCAGGAGACTCGCCTGGAGGTTGTGAGCAGAAGTCCAGGTGAGTGGGAGGTGGTGGTGGCCAGAACTAGAGCAGCAGGCCTGGGGGCCGAAAGGAGGGGCTGTCTGCAACCAGAGCCCATTGATTGCCTGCATCCAGAAAAGCCAGCTGCAGGGATGCTGCTGGACCCCACCCAGGTGGCCACAGGTATTTCCCCATCCTCCTGTGGCCCCACCCAGCCTGGCAGCATGCCCTGCCCCTCGCTGGAGGGCCTGCAGGTTCCTCCCCGCGGCTCACTGGCCCGTAGGGTTTGGCGGGGGAGCCATCCTGCCAGCCGCACTGTGCGCATCACAGCTGAGCCAGGCGCTCTCAAGTGGCTCCGACATGGTGCGAACACACTCTTGTGTCTTTTTGCCATCTGCTGCTGTCATTAAAAAATTACATTTCCATCTGTTTTCACACTTTTGTCCCCTCCCAGCCTCTCTTCCTGGAAGCATATAGTACGAATTCCAAGTCTCGGATCGGCCATTGCTGGCCTCCTGGAAACTGGGAACTTCCCGGGGACACACCAGGGTTAGGGGCAACAGGCTTTGTCAGTGGCCAGAGCTGTTAACTTCCATTCATTTCCTCTTCAGTCACCATTTACTGTAGCCCCTGCTCTGCTACCCCCCTCACTTTAGGGGGAGCCATTTACAAAGCTTTTTTATTGTTGGTTTTAATCAGTATGTGCAGCTTTGGCATTAAAAATAGATGAAAAATAAACTGCAGACATTAGTAACCATCCCCCAGGATATATTGAAATAGAGGAACCGACTCAGGAAACATGAATCAAAGAGCTGTGTTTTGAGTTCAAAATAAATTGTTATTCTAAACCAGCCCCACAGAGGCCCCCACCCCACCTGGACAGCACCCAACCTATAACAAAGGGTCCAGTCCACGTAAGGACCCAGCAATTCCACAGGTGGTGATGGCACCAGTGGGCCTGGTGGATCCTCTCAAGCACAGCTTTGCAGACACCAGCGTTATTGCCAACATTCTAGAGGCCTCTGTGAGAAAGCCAAGTCCAGTGTCTTGCGCAGCCTCAGGCTGGCCCTTCCGCCTGGTCTTCTTCCTGTTGCCATGGGCACTAAAAGCCTGGATGAAGTGGTGATTAGCCAGGGCAGGTTGCTGAGTGGACTGTAGGCCTCTGAGCAGGGCCCACGGAGATGTGGGGCTCCCCCTGGCCTGTGGATGGAGCCGGCTGTCAGAGTGAGCACCCAGCCCCAGCCCTGAGGCCCAGCATCTCTCTGGGTTCCAGAGGGAACAGGACTAGGGCCACAAGTCATGAGCAGAAGTTGTGAGTGCACTTGCCTGGCCTGGCCTGTGCTCCATGGTTCTGCCATCCTCCATGAGGACATACTCTGGTAGCTGCTGGCCACAAAATGAGGAGGCACATGAAGCAGATTTGAACCCAACTAGAGCCTGACAAAGCCCAATTCCTGGCAGCCACTCAGCAGAGCCACGGCCAACTCAGAGACCAGTGAGTGAGAGATCAATGCATGTTGGTTCTAAGCTACTGAGTCTGGAGGGTGGGGTGTCTCACTTAGTCCATTGGGCTGCTATAACAGAAGACCATAGGCTGGATGGCTTATAAACAGAAATTTTTTACTCACAGTTCTGGAGGCTGGAAGTCCAAGATCAAGGCACCAGCAGATTTGGTGTCTGGTGAGGGCCCGCTTCCTGGTCCATAGTCTTCACATGCAAGGAATCTCTCTGGGGAATCTTTTATAAGGGCACTAATTCCATTCAGGAAGGCTCCACCCTCAGGATCTGATTACCTTTCAAAGGCCCCACCTCTTAATACCATCACATTGAGGGCTAGGTTTCAAGTTATGAATTTGGGGGGACACAAACATTCAGTCTATAGCAGGGGTTGTTTGTTACACAGCAAAAAGAAAACTGACTAATACACAATGTCACAGTTTCCATGAGTATCATGAGTTAAAGTATGCATAAAGTGCCTAGAACAGTCCTGCACAGAGCAAGCAATATGAGGGCTAAACAAATAAAAATCCTGAGCACCTCTTAAGTGTGAAGTCTGGGATAACACTGGTGTGTGAAAACCCGCCCCTGACTTAGAACTTTATTTTCTAAGGGTGTGAGGGTGTCCAAGGATTGAGTGTGGGTATATCAGCCCTACATCCTGAGTCCCAGTTGATGGGGTCACCCCTTCCTCTGATAACATGCACATCAGTGATTATGAAAATATGAAAGGGTGACTTGCTCTAGGACAGGCAAGACTGCTGTGAGAGCCAGGAAACAGAAAAGACTTCAAGCTGCAGGGCCCAGCGTGGAGCAGCATCAGGAGGCAATGGACCTAGGCTTTGCCCAGGGACTGGGCTGGACTGGGAAAGGGGAGCCAAGGGATTCCGGAGACAGGTAACTGCATGAATGGGGTGGCAGACTGTGGTTCCAAAAATGGCCACAACATCATCTCCCATCCCACATGCTCTTCTTACAATGTGCCTGTGCTATCACTCCCATTGAGAGGCTGTGCGTGCTAGAAGCAGGATCCACTGTATCATTCAGGGGACCTGCTGAAAAATGAACATGTGGGCCACTGCTCAGCAAGAATTAAGAATTTCCAGGCAGTAACAGCAAAGTGCAGGTCCACCTGAGAGAGGGCCCTGTTGGATAGTGCACGTTGCAGGCCCACAGAGCCGGCCCTGACTGTGGGGTCCACCATACAACCCAGGCACTCAGTGGTCCTGTGTGCCCAGGTGTGAGTGTGGGGGGACTGGCTCCAGACCCCCTTGATGGCTCCTTCCCCGCCTCAATTCTTGTGCAGTGAAGAATGAACTGTGCCCAGAGAACTGCCCGCTGCCCGTGGTTCCTGAGAGGTGACCTCTAAACCTTGGAACCTCCTGCCTGATAGGAATGTCTTTGTTTACCTGGGCCTTGGGCCACACAGAACAACCTGTAATGTGATTAATGGTGGGGCCTGGGTCATATGGTATCAGCTCTAGAGGGGCGACAGACTGAGGCCACCAGGTGGGTGGTCAGACATGTCTACATGACCAACCCCCAGCGAAAACTCTGCACACCAAGATTCAGGTGAGTGTCCCTGGTAGGCAACACCTAGGGGGTGTGTGTCACCATCACTGCTGGGAGAAGTAAGTGCTGTTTTGTGTGACTTTCCTGGATGCTTTCAAATGCCTGGTCTCTCCTGGAGCAAACCTTTTAGGCTTCTTCCCTTTGCTGATTTTGCTCTACATTGCTTTGCTGTAATAAATCGTAACCTCGACTATAAGTTGTTTTTTTTAGTTAAGTTCTAGCAAGTTATTGAACCTGAGCATTGGCCTTGGGAATCCTGGAACTTCGCTCACTTGTCCTCTACCCATGTACTCCAGGGTCACCTCCTAGATAGACTCCTTGCTCCCAGGGCCATGGCCCAGGCTCTGCTACGACAGTGGACAAATCAAAGTCAGGATAAACCACCCAGCCTCTGACAGAAACCAAAGAAAACGAACCGAAACACATGTGCCATGATCAGAACAGTCTATGGGGAAAGGACACCAACAATTTGACATTCTTTAAAATAATACAAAACCAGTGCCTCCCATCCTAGAGATGCACTATTACCAGGATCCCGCAGCTGGCAGGGACAGAGCTGGGACTCAAGGTTGGTGTGACTTATGAGCCCTTGTCCTTGGCCATGTCCAGGCCCACTCAGCAGTCTGCAAATCAAGGGGCCTGAGACTATCCAAAGGCTCATCACCAGGCAGACCTCTGTGATAAGCGATTCTCTTAAACCCACCTCTGTATCCACAGGTGCTCCATTTCCTCTGCCCAGCCCAAGAAGCAGGGCTCACCATTCATTACAGAGGATCTTTATTTATAATGCAAAAAAAATTATAAATCACTTTTGGACTGTTTTGATATCTGTAAAACAACTTATAAAAAATGTAGCCACTCCTTTGCAAGAAGTTCTCGTATGTGTTGATCTCCTGGGCACCGTCTGCATGGCCCAGGATGCTGGGTGTGTGTTTGTCCAGAAGAAAGCCTCTCCCTGGCACCCCGATGGCCAACACCATGGCCCTGGGGTCAGCAAGAATGTGTAGGCATTAGAGGTCTAGTCCACTCAATGGGGCCAGGGAAACATCATTCTGGAAGAGTGCAGGGCTGATTCCTTGCTCATCTTGCCACACTTCTGGTCAAGTGCAGAAATCACTCTTGCATCCATCTTACTCAGCACATCTGTCCCAGGCAACTACGCCCCTTGGGGGCCTGTGGAACGAGGGATGGCCAGACCAGGAGCCAATCGATGCCAACAAATCCCTGACCTGTGCCTCTTCCTCAGGCTTCAGGGTCTATTTCTCCATCCTCTGGACATGACCCCGTCTCTTCCAGCCAGACTAGAAGACAGAGGGGGGATCAACATGTGGATAGACCCCCCACCCCATTCAGGCCCCCTTTCCCTGGGAGCTGTGGGGCCAGTACCTCTGGGCTCCTTGCGATGCTCTCCGAGATCCCCCTCAGTGGTGTCAACGGATGTTGAGAGGGGATCCGAGTGATGCTGGGTCCCACAGGATTCCCAGGTAGCCCTCATCCCATACTCAATGCTGAGACCCTGGGTCCCTGGCTTAGGTTACTGGGATTGTGCTCCCCTGGGCCCACCCTGGGCTCAGCCTCTTAAAGCCCAGGGCCAATGGGCTTGACATTTTGATGACAATTTGATGCTCAGAGAGAGATGGCCTGCTCCAAGTCAGCAGGTGGCTGGGCAGGGCTGGGGTTCTCTCTGATTCCTCCCTGTCTGGGGAAGCCCCAGGTAGCTAATCATCACTCAGAACCCTCAGGCCTGGTGGTCTTTCCTGAATATCACTGGTGAGAACATCTACAACACCCCACAGAAATCAGCCCTTAGCCTTCCTCGTCTTTAATCTTCCACAGCCTCTCTGAGGCACTATTATTGTCTCCATTTTAGAGATGGAAAAACTGAGGCTTGGGAGGTGGAGCTTCCTGTTCAAAGTCCCATGCTAATGAGTGGCAGAGCCAGGATCCAAATTCAGGGTTTTCTGACTCCAAACCTGTACCCTTTCTCCTATGCTTCCCTTCCCTGAGTGGAAAAAGTGGAGGGTCAGTTCTGAGATCTGCCTCTGGATAGGACAGGAGGGGACCCGTGTGCTAGCCCCTCTGCACTAATCTGCCCCTGGAACTGCTTAAGCTTAAAAGGAACCTCTCCCAGGGTTAGGAATCCCCCTGGGTGCCCAGGGCCTCCAGGCTCTCAACCCCCAGACCTTATAGAGTAACCACGAGTCTCCCCTGCACTCACACAGCCCCAGGAGCAGGGAAGATGGTTAGGATCCTATTTAACAGATGGGGACACTGAGACTCAGAAAAGGGAGTGTAATGGCAAAGCCAAGGATCTGGGCCTCCACCACCCACACTGAGCTCTTGATTAGATATTGGAGCAGGAGCCCAGCTCTTCTCCCACTTTGGTGCGCGCCCTCTGGGTGAGTCCCTCTCCCTCTCTGGACCTCAGCTTCCCCATCTGTAGAGATAAAGACAGTACTCACAGCCTATAGGGTTGGAATGAGAAATAAGATTTGTGAAAAGCATTTAGCCTGGTGCCTGCCACTTGGGAAGGTGACATAGGAATGTGATCGATTTCAATCCTTACTGAGCATGGCCCAGCCCCAGTAACTGCAGAGGCCTGGCCCAGAGCCTAACATCTTTCTCTAGGTCACCTGCTCTGCTGTGCAAGCTGAGATCCAAACTCAACAGATCTGGAAAAGTGTGCCTAAGTCCCCCGCACCAGACTTCCATGAGCTCCACATCAGCTTTGTCAGCCTGGGTCCCCAACAGGAGTCAGCCAGGACTGTCTTGATGGTTGGTTGGCTGAATGATGCCAGCCACAGGGAGGGCGTTTAGACTAGGGGTCCACAGGGTGAGCTCCAGATCACACAGCCTGGGTCTGAATCCCAACGCTGCCACTTTCCAGCTGTATGGCAAGTGTCTCGACCTCTCTGAACCTCAGTCTACCAGTCTATAAAATGGGGATGAAAACCAGACCTAACTCAGAGTTACTATTAGGACTCAATTACTGCTATCAGAATCATTACTTCTTCTTATTATTATTACCATTCACAACAGCAGCCACAGAACCTAGCACAGGTCGGGCTCAATAAATCTATTTAGTGAACAGATGAACAATTTGTCCCGCCAGCTCCAACAGTATCTAGAGAGGAGCACTTGGGGACACCGGTTTCAGCCTCTCCCTCTCCCCCTCTCTCTGGGAACAATTCCATCATCTCTCCCCTCCCTGCAGTGAGCCGCATCCGGAAGGCCCAGAGATCAGCCCCAGCCCGGCGTGGGCACATTTCCAAAGCTGTCCCGTCCAGCTGAACCTCTGCAGCCAGCAAGATGGAGCACCAGTGGCCAGGCTCGCGGGGGAAGGCACATCCATCATTTACCTTCGTGAGCGTGCCCAACCCCATCCATCACTCGCTCGGCTGCCGGCAGGGATTGTCTAGCTAATTACTTAACATGCCACATCTTGCTGAGGCTGAGCCACCGTGAGGGGCCCACCGTGGAGAACCGAGGGTAAATTTTTAATAAACCCAGGGGTGATGGGGACATGAACTCAGACCCATAGCACAGAAGGGGGCTCCCAGCCAGACCCCCCCAGCTCCAACCTGGCTTGGCAGCTGAGCAGGGTGGCCTCACCTGTCCTCCTGGAGTCCCTTGGCAGCATCATGCCTGTGGGGGTCGGGGGGGTGATGATGATGTTGGGCACATCCAGGTGCTTGTCGCTCAGGACGGGGGCCTCATCGTGGCTGCTGCTGCTGCTGACACACATTTTAAAGCCTGAGAGGGCAGGCCGTGGAACACACACGTACACACATGACAGAAAGACAAGCATCAGTGGATGCTGGGGAACTGCCCACCGCCGGCTGCCTGCCTCCCTCCCTCCCCTCACTATCTCTGCGAGTCCCGACAGCTCTCAGGAAAGAGGGCACTGCTGTTCCCACTTCACGGATGAGGAAACTGAGGCTCAGGACTGTTAAATGACCCACCTGACGACCTTGCAGAACATGGTGTGGACAGTGAGTTTTACCTGCTTTGTTCACTAATGTAATTTCAGTGCCTAGAACAGTGCTGGACACATAGTAGGTACTCAAAACACAACTCTAAACAGATGAAAGCAACAGAGCTTGAATTGGAAGCCAGGCCTGTCTGAGGGGAAGCCGTGCGTGAAGTTACCTCTCCCCCTAATGACTTTCTGGAGGAGTTGTGTAAGATCAGTTTGTTTTTTCCTTATGTGTTGAATTCACCAGTGAAACTGTCTGGGCTTGGAATTTTCTTTGTGCAAAGACTAAATTTTTTTTTTTTAATTCTCACCCAAGGATATTTTTTCCATTGCTTTTCAGAGAGAGTGGAAGGGAGAGAGAGAGAGAAACATCGATGTGAGAGAGACACATTGATTTTCAGGGCTGGAGATCAAGCCTGTAACTGAGGTATGTGCCCTTGACTGGAATCTAACCCGAGACCCTCCAGTCCATGGGCTGATGGATGCTCTAACCACTGAGCCAAACCAGCCAGGGCTGTGTAAAGACTTTTGATTACAAATGTGATTTCTTTAATAGATATGGGGCTCGTTAGCTTTTCTGTTTCCATCTTGCGTCAGTTTGGGTAAGTTGTGCTTTTCATGGAACTGGTCCATTTCTTCTAAGGTATTAAATTCCTTGGCCCACCTCTCCCACAAATGAAGTACAGGTAATTTGGCCAAGCCCAGTTACAGATCTCCACCTGACACAGGAGTTCCCGCTGCATCCACCCCACCAAATACCTTCCTCCATTCTTCCTGCCTGAGTCAATAGCATCACATCCTCCAGAAACCAGAGCGTGGGCCAGATTTCTTCCCTTTCCTCCTTTCCCTCCAACGCCCCAGCCAATTTCATCAACCTGCAAGCCTGCAGGTACCACCCCTCAATATCTCTGACACCCTTTCTGCCCTCCAAACAGCAGCCAGAAACTATAGATCTGAACATGCCACATCCCTCCTTAGAACACTCGCTAACTCCTGACAATATGTGCGAGGAGCATTTCCCAGTGTGTTCCCTGGAACACTGGACTCCTGAGGCTCCCCAGGAAGGGGGGGGTTCCATGATCAAATGAGTTTGGGAATCCCATCTACTCTGCCCTTCTCATGGAGAGAATTAAAGGCTATGAGAAGTCCTGCAGTAAGGAAGCTGCTTTAATTGTGCTAAACCTTGGGCTTCCTAAACTTAAATCACCTTAGAGTCTGTTAACATCTCACAGAAGCATGAGTCATAAAATACACTGTAGATCATAAGTGTTGATCAAAAATTAAAGTCAGCCTCTTAGCCCAGCTTTGAGCTTTCACAATCTGGCCCAAACTACCTGCAGCCTCATTCCCTGTCACCCGCCCACACTCTCCAAACTGCTCAGTTTCCCAGATACTCTGGGCTTCACAGTTCCTTCATGCCCCTGTGCAGGCTGTTCCCCACCTGGAAAGCTGTTCTTCCTTTACAGTGGGAATGAGCTCCTACTCATCCTTCAAAGCCTATCACAATAGGCTCTTCTTTGGGGAAGATGCCCCAGTAAATCTGATTCCTCCCTCCTTTGTCCATCTACACTCATTCATTCATCAATCTTCCAGCACTGATCATACTGCATTGATGTGATTAGTTCTTAATTCTGTCTCCCTTTGCTGTGAGCGGCTGGAGGATAGCCACTATCTCACTTGACTCTACCATAGTAACTGGGACAGAGCAGTAGGAGTGCTTTAAATTTAAATTGAAAAGCAACTCTAGGCACCATGGGATTGGGTGTTAAAATCTTTATCTCTGTGCTCTGCCACTCTGGTTTTTCCTCCAAGCAGCCCCAGACTGGGATTGTATTAGCTCAAGTATCTGAGCCCCTGGCCAACAGCCGGGGCCAAGCAATGGGATGATTATTATTTCTACTGCTTCTCAGGCCAACCCCGAGCACCAGGAGGAACAGTGCTCCTGAGTGACCTCTATAGGATCAGTGTGGTGGTTCTCAGGTATTCCCTGAGGGATGGAGTCTAAATCCCCACCCCTTTAGTGTGGGATAGATTTGGAATGAATTCTAATGAATAGAGTAAGACCTGAAGGGATGCTGAGTGACTTCCAAGGGGAGGTCATAAAAGATATCACAACCACTCCAGCTGCTCCTAGCTCTTCTTCTGGGGAAGCCATCTGCCATGTTTGAGGACGTGCAAGCAGCTTGTAAAGAAGCCTCCGTGGTTGAGGAACTGAGGCCTCCAGCCAATAGCCATGTAAAGGAGCCACCGAGGAAGTTGGTCCTCTAGCCCAGTCAGGCCTTCAAATAAGACTGAGGCCAGGCCAACAGCTTGAATGTTACCTCACAAGAGACCCTGAGCCAGAACCTCCCAGCTAAGTCATTCCTGAATTCCCGATCCACAGAAACTGAGATAATGTTTAAGCCACTAAATTTTGGGATAATTTGTTACACAGCAATAGATAACTGATAGTTAGCACAGCTTGCCTGTCCTGGGAACCCCAATCCTGTTTCCTTCCTGAGGAGCCTCTGTGGCCCCTGACTCTACCAGGCTGGTTAGTTCTGTAGGAAGAGGCCCCATCAGACTATGAGCCCCTCAAGGGCACCCACCACGGTCTCTGCCAACTTGATCTAAAGCAGTGGTTTTCAAACCTCCTTTAAAGCAGCAGAGCCATTTTTCCTGTAATCTTATGCAGAAGCCCAGAATGTAAAATAAAAGGAAGCCACTTGGAGGAGGCCCTCCCATTATCACTGTTAACAGTTGACATTTAAAGAGCATTTGTGGCATATCAGACACAGTATTGAACACCTTCATGGCCACCCTGAGAGGTGCAAAGTGCAATCAGCCCCATCTCACAGATGTGGAGAGTGAGGACCAGAGACAGTAAGAACTTACACAGAGTTGAACAGCATGTGGTGAAGCCAGGATATGAGCCCAAACCCAGGTCTGATTCCATAAACTGGTGCTAACCACAATTCTATATAATGGAGCTGGAAAGCTTTATGAAAAAAGGGCCAAATAGTAAATATTTTTTACTTTAGGGGCTATGCAGTCTCAACTTTGCCATTGTAGCTGGAAAGCAGCCACAGAGAGTATGTAAGTGAATAGGCGTGGCTATGTTCCAATAAAACTTTATTTATAAAAAAGAATGGCAGGCCCGATTTCTGTAGTTTGCCAATCCAGCTCTCTAACATCCCAGTTTGGATCAGGGATCTGTATGGTGTTCTAGTAAGCAATAATAGAATCTTAAATACCTGAGGACCCTAAATGCCAAAAACAAAAACAAAATCCCATACCTGGCTGCTATGGATAGTGACAGTGCTGGCCTCTGAAGGGCAGTGGGCACAATGCAATGAGTGAATTCATGTAAAGCTCTTGCCCAGCTAGCAGGGCCCAGGGGGTGCTCAATCCCTGCTAGCTTCCCTGTAATCATCCATAAAGAGCGTCTCACAGAGCACCCGCAACAAAAGGAAGCTCTGATTATTGTTATCTGTGACAGGAGGGAGCCTCCCTGCTCAGTCTCTAAGGCCCTTCCTCAGTGAGTATTCCAAAGTTCTTAAAATAAAATGCTAATAGAGAAAAGCCACACTCCTCCCGGGGCCCCATATTTGCATTTTAACATGTTCTGGGAGCTTGGTGACAAAGCCACATTCTTAATCAGGAAGCATCAGGTCACTCAGTGGGCCCAGGAGAGAAGCTAGAGGCAGAGAGGAGAGAGAGAAGGAGGGAGGGGAGAGGAAGGAGGGGAGAGGAGGGAGAGGAGAAGAGGGAGGGGAGAGGAGGAAGGAGGGTGGGACTCCAGCTCCCCTCAAATCCCCAGGCTACGCAGCCTCCAAGCAGAGGTGGCTGAGCAGGAGGGAAAAGCTCTCAAGAGATAAAGCCGACTTTGGGAATTAACAACAAATGCCAACCCTGCCCCAGACAAGGAGCTCACTTGTGCTAAAGCCAGAATTGTTATTTGTTAATTACCTGCCTGCCTCAGGCCATTAAGAGCCCATTTCCTGAGGGGAAGGGCTGGGCTGGGGTTCCAGGGCGCTGGGATCCA